GTTCAAGAGCTGACCCAGAAACGGCCATGGGGGCAAAGGGTGAGCAGAGCCCTGGCTGCCAGCAGCCCTGACACGGTGCCAGCTGGCTGGGCAGGGCCAGGGCTGGCCCCAGGGAGAGCTGGCAGCTGCACTGCGCTGGTAACCCTACCCCTGGCACAGGGGGCACCGGGGGGGGACAGTGTGGGGCAGGGTGAGGAGCCTCTCAGCTGTTTCGGGGTGCACTGACCCCCCTGTTCCCTCCAGGACAGTTCCTCAGCTGTTTTGGGCTCCTTCCTCGCTGGCTCACGTGTGCAGCGAGTGACTGTGCCCAGACCCGCCGGGCACATCTTGCAAAATCGTTCCTGTCCGGGCACTTGGGGCTCTGCCAGCGAGGCCCTGGCAGCAAACGGGGCTGGCTGGGCTCGGACCCTGCCCGGACCCAGACACGACCCGGCCCTGCCCGGGTGACATTGATTAATTAATTGCTTCTGGACTCGGTTAAGGGGATTCACAGGAACCGAGGGGGTGTAATGCCCTAAGCAGCTTTCCTAACCCACAAGGGGCTCGTTGGCCCCTAATTGGCTTGGGACAGCTTAGGCAGGACCCAGGGCATTAATCACGCCGGGATCCTTCCCAATTAACCCCGCAGAGCCCGCTGCAGGGATGGGTCTCCCTCTGCTTGGCTTCGCAGGGCTCTGGGCGGTGGGTGGCGTCTCCCAAAATGTCCCTGGGGTGGCTTTGCAATGGCTGGGGAGACAGCAGGGCCTGTGCCAGGGCTCCTGGGCATGGGGGGCACTTCCAGCCCTGCAGCCTGAGGAGGAAAGGGAACCATGGCACAGAACAGGGAACAGAACAGAACGGCTCTTCTGTCACTGTCACACCAAGCCAGAGCACAACAAGGGCGAGAGGAGCTGTACTGATTTTTTTTTCTGGACGCCAAGCAGTAAATCACAGCGTCCCAGAACTGTTTGTTTTGGAAGGACCCTAAAGCTCATCCAGTGCCACCCCTGNGGGGGGGGATTAATGTGGGACCCCCACCCCGAGTGTCCCCAGGGGCTGCACAGACCCGGGCTGGGGGCAGAGGGGGATGGAACGGTCCCATGTCCCCTCCAAGGCACACGGTGACCCCCATCTCTGCTTTGGAACCCCCCCAGTTTGGATCCAGCTGGGTGATGGATTAACCTGGACCCCCCCAAAGCAGAGGCTCCTGCCCCTGTCCTGGCTGAGCAGCGTTAATTACCCTGGGCTAATTGCCCTCTTGGCTCAGCTCTGAGTCCTGCCTTGGTTTCCCCTCTGAGCAGGACGCATGGTTTTGCAGGAGAAAAGCATTAATGGGGTACTTTTGCATTTAGGATGTGTATTAGAATTTATGGTGTATTTTTTCACCCCAGGTGCATTTCTGAGCTCAGTCAATGCCTTTCACCCCAGGTGCATTCCTCAGCAGCAAACCAGCACCTCGCTGCCCACACCATCCCCATTTTGGGGGCTGGCCCAGCCTGGAGCACCCTCAGCCCCCCCTGTGCCACCTCTCCAGGCCCAGAGCAAGCCCTGGACAGGACACCCCATCCCCAGGAGATAAATCCTGCTGGGTGCCAACCTGTCATACCCCGGGCGGGTGGCCAGGAGCAGCTGCCAGCGCTGCCAGAGGTGCTAATGAGGCTGGAAATGAAGAGCTGGACCCGAGGCGTCCCTGTGCCACGCCCGGTGCTGGCAGGGACACTCTGATGGCACCAGCCTGGCAAAGCCACCCCCGGTACCCACAGTGAGCCGAGAGCGAGAGGCGAGCAAGGAAAGAACCACTCGAAGCAGCGGTTTTTCTTTACAAAATACACAAATTCCAAATGCGTGACAATTATATACAAAACAAGGGAATTACAAAACGTGCGGAATTGTCCCGTTTGCACCCGTATAGAAAAGTGTCCTGTGCTGGAGCAGGGCCGGCTCGCCAGGCTGCCGGGCCCTGCCCCGTGTCCCCCCCATCCCGAAGGCGTCGCCGGACATCCCGTGCCCGTCCCAACGCTGCTGCGGCTACAGGGAAGCTGCTGAGGGAGAGGATGGGGTGAGGAAGGAGAGCCCAGGCCCCCAGAGCTGCCCCGTGGGTGCTGGGGGCTCCTGGGGACGTGGGCTCAGCCCTTACCCATCACTGTCCTCTCGGGCGCCGCGTTCTCTTCCACCTCCTCTTCCTCCTCCCCATCAAAGTACTCCTCATCTTCCTCTGCTGCAAACAAGCGGCCAGGGGTCAGTGGGAGGCACCGGGAGGAGCAGAGGGTGCCACCAGGTGAGGGGGGTCTGGGGGCTGCATTACCAGGGTCGAAGTCCAGGGCGTGCACGGCCTCGCTGAGGTGCTCCAGGCTCACCGAGAAGGCGTCCATGCTCTCGTAGCCCTGCTCGATCTTGTCCAGGCGAGCGCCCTTGGAGGCCTCCACGATCCTGGGCAGGAGAGCACGGATGGGTGTGGGTGTCCCTGTGCCCTCCCTGGGCTGGGGGCCGGGGGGCAGCAGGGCTGGGGCTCAGGGCAGCCCCCACTCCCCAAATCCTGCCCGTGGGGCTCGGATTGAGGAGATTGCCCCGGTTTGAGCACTTACGTTTTTATGAGCTGCTTGGCATTCTGTGGAGAGAGAAGGAGGAGGAGGAAGAGAAGAGGAAGGAGGTGAGTGAAGCCGCAGCAACCACCAGGCTGTCCCCAACAGTGGGACCCCACACTGGGGCGGGTCTGGGGGTCTCACCATGAGGAAGGCGGCCCCCCCGGTCTCCTCGGCTGCCTGGATGGCCGTCTCCACCAGGCGGCTGGACTTCTCCAGCTGCTCCTTGTACTGGCAGATGAGGCTCTGGATGAAGGCGGTCTTGTCCGCCTGCTCGCGGCTGATGCGCTGCAGCAGCTCCGCCTTCTTCTCCTCCAGCAGCGCCGCCAGCGCGTCAAAGCGAGCGCACAGCTCCCTCTTGGCCGCCTCGCTGTTCTCCTGCGGGGACAAGGGACAAGCGATGGCACCCGTGCGTCCCTCCGGCGCCTGCAGCATCCCTGCTCCGTGGGCTCCACACCGTGCCCCGCTGGGGTATCACCCTCGGTTTTTGGGGGTTCCTTCCCCCTTTCCTCACCTCGGTGCTCTGGCAGGAATCCTCCAGCTGGGAGATGATGGTCTGGATCCGGTCGTTCCCCGCCACCAGCATGGAGATGCAGTTGTTCAGCTCAGTCTGGTGAGTGACAGAGAGGAGAATTTAAGGACAGGAACCTCTCCCAGTGCCCAATGCCCAGCTGGGCACTGCTCATCCCAGCTCTGCTCCCCATTTTAACTCCTGCAGGGACAGGAACATTTCCCAGTGCCCAGCTGGGCATTGCTCATCCCAGCTCTGCTTCGCCACATTTTAACTCCTGCAGGGACAGGAACCTGTCCCAGTGCCCAGCTGGGCATTGCTCATCCCAGCTCTGCTCCCCCACATCCCGACCAACCACAGTTGCTCTGAATATTCTAAATATAGCCTGTCTCCTGGGCGAAGTCACCCGCGGGCTATTAATACCCCGTGAGCCATCCCCAGAGTTATTTGTCACTGTCCCAGCTCAGCACATGGCCCTGAGCCCCCCCGGGTCCCCCCTCAGGGCACCTTCTGTCCCTGGAAGACGCTTTCCAGAGGGGCCACCTCGCAGTCCTTGTGGGCACCGAAGACCTTGCACATGGAGCAGGTGGGCACCTCGCAGGTGACGCAGTAGATGTTGATGCGCTCGTCCTCGTGCTCCTTGCACATGGGGTGCTCCCCCTTCTTCAGGGGCCTGCTGGAGAGGGTGGCACGGCCTCGGTGACGTCCCCGGCATGGTGACAGCCACACCAGGGTGACAGCCACACCAGGGTGACAGCCACACCAGGGTATGTTCCCATAATGGTGACATCCACACCAGGGTGATGCCCCTATCATAGTGACATCCACACCAGGGTGATATCCCCACCACGGTGATGTCCCCATCACGGTGACAGCCACACCAGGGTGACAGCCACACCATGGTCATGTCCCCACCATGGTGGCATCCACACCAGGGCGATGTCCCCACCATGGTGGCATCCACAACATGGTGATGTGGATGTCACCTGTGATGATCCCTGTCCCCCCTACAGGGACACCCCTGCCACCACGGTGTCCCCACTTCAGCCTCACCCCCACCATGGTGACACCCCCTCTGTCACCCCAAAATCAGGTCCCCGGGAAAGAGGGGACCTGGCACAATCCCACAGGTCCCCTCTGGGAGCCGCCAGCCCCTGTGTGTCCCAGTTTAGGGGCACCATGGCAGGGTGGCACTGGGGACAGGGGGGCTGCGATCCAGAGGCGCTGCACCAGTGCCTAATTTTAGCCCTGTGCTGCCCGGATTTATTGTCACCATCGTGTGACCGGGGTGGGGACACCCAGAAAGCCCCGGGGGCTCCCAGACAGGGGCTGCAGCTCAATCGTGCCATGCACAGCGAGGAGGGACAGGGGGACAAGGCAGAGCTGTGACACACGGACAGCCCTGGGCCCCCCGGCCCCCCCGGCCACCTGCCACGTGCCATCGTCCCCGTCCCCATGGCTCTCACACAATATTTACAGCGGCCCAGGGGATTTGGCTGGGATCACGCTCTGCCCCGAGAGCCTGTGACCCCTCTGTCCCCCCCCAGCTCCATCCTTGTCCCCACTGGGCCCCCCAAACCATCCCTGTCCCCCTTATCAGCCCTGGTGCCTGCTGTCACAGCAGGGCCTGCGTTCCTTCCCCACACCTCTTATCTGCCCCCGAATGTTCCAGCAGGAGCACGGGGACAGCAGGACGTGCCACCACCCCCAGGGACCGGCCATCCCCCTGGGACAGCCAGGGGCACTAACTGCTGGGCAGAATTGGCCTGGGGGAAGAAGTTTTGGGTCCAGGAAGGAAGTTTTGGGTTCAGGAAGGAAGTTTTGGGTCCGGGAAGGAAGTTTTGGGTTGGGCGAGGAAGTTTTGGGTCTGGAGAAGAAGATTTTGGTCGAGGGAGGGAGATTTGAGTCAGGAAAAGATCCGAATCAGGGATCACTGAGCAGAAAGGCCCCCAGGGTGATCTCTTGGGGTCTCAGTGCTGCTGCTGGGACA